TTTATATTTTTAAATAATTTTTATAATTTTATAACTGTTACCAGAAGTAACTCCCCTCGTGCTGTCATTTTAATTGAGTCCCTTAGTAGGGAAAACAATAATGCATGCACTCCAGTTATTATTTCTTAATCTCTTATGTCTCCTGTCCTTATCTCTAAAAATGCTCCAAGGCACTGGTACCCCTGAAAGATCTATTCATTGCATCATTTATCTTCCAGCTCTCTGGGAGAGCAGCCATTTCAAAAGACACGACAAACATTTTGGACAACAGTTCATCAGTTTCGTCCCTGAGCTCCCTGAAAAGCCTCGGATACACGTCAGACCATCAGTGATTCAGCTGTGGAACTCTTTTAATTTTTGGTGAACATTTGAAGTTTTACTAATTTTCTTATTATCCTTAAAAGAGTGGACCCAGCTTTTGCACAGCCTGAAGCTTACACAATTTATAATGTCCTTCTTAAGAAAAAGTACAAAATTATGAATACAAAGTTACTAGGGCCCTTCCTAGGCATTATGCAAGTAAGGGGCCCTGACTCTGGAGTTTCAGAAGCTTCTAAATCAGCTCTCTCTGCTTATCAAAAGTTCTAAGAGAATAATATTCTCTTATACATGCAAAGCACTTCACAGTTTGAAGTTTTCCACACATGTACATATAATATTGATGAACATTTGAATTTCTGACAGTGTACCAATAAATGCTTATTAATTAAATTCACTAACTTTTAAATAGTTCTAAACCTTACAGGTTCCCTCTTTGGGTAAGATCAAACTTACCCTGTGCCTAATGATATTTCTGCATATGGGCAAACATTTTGCTAGCACTGGCTTGTCTCCATTTGTACCAGAGGCTTTGAGTCAGTATCAGCCATGACTGGCCGCTTGAGAGGACAGTTTTGCTCGGGTAAAATACACGGCTATATCAGCCCCTTGAGGCTGGTTCCGCATGTGCTTCCATCTCATCTTAACCACAGCCAGCCAACTTCACCTTCCCCTCAGGCCTTTCTCCTTACCTTCCAATGTCACTTCTCTAATTCTTTAGTTACAGTATTAACCTGGAAATAATGTTCTATCCCCTACCATCTTCAAGTGATTTAACAGCGTGCATTTCTGCTGAAGCTGTTCTTCACCAGGCCTTTGTCAAGAACTGAGGTCCAAAGACTTGCAACAAACCCTGAAGATATGACCCAAATCCCAAAGGCTAAAGGTTCATTTTCTGCCTCTCTCACAGTTACAATTAGCTGTGTAACTCTGAAGTAATTAACTCAGTCTTTTGTCAGAGACACACTGCCCGAGTGTCACACAAAGACCAATACTATGGAGAAGAATCTAGCTTCAGAGGGCAATCAATGTAGGTCTACTGTCCGTCAGAAATACTATACTTATAATTCACAACAATTACGCCTCAATCATTACCAACATAAATTACCTAAGAAAAATCAGATCGAGGGTTAGGAGAAAAGCATCAGAACAAGGAGTAGAAAATGTTTTTAGTGAAGCACACAAGCAACAAAATAGACTTCTGGGCTTGGTCCAACAAACATTTGCTTCCCATCCTTCAGCTAATTCCCAAATCCGATGTAACATCAATCTAATCTGAAAACATTTTGTTTTAAAAGACGGATGTTTGGATGGATAGCTGGAAGGAAGGAAGACAGAAAGAGCAGGCTACATCCATCTTTTAACCTGGGTTAATGTCTTTTCAATGTTCTAAAACAAAGATGATTAAAACTAATATAGCAGGAGAAGAAAATATTTTTAATTATCAGCTAACAGATCATGCCATGGGCATTAATTTAATCATAAGTTCTTTAAAACTTTAAAATATCTTATAAAGGTTTATAATTCAGATCTGTGAAAAAAGCTACAACTTTTATTCTTTGCCATCTTCTTCAAGGACAACTTAAGGTATCATTATTAGGCTAGTAAAGCTTATTTTGTGTCATCAGAGGAAGAAATATTAGACCTTTCCAATCCAAACACAGAGATTACAACTATTTCAAAATGCATACAAAACGTTCACCCTTTTACTAACACCATTTATATGTTCCATGCATATTAGGCCCCAACTGCTCATCATAATTATTAAGTGATCTTCCTATTTAAACTGTAATTTTAAACATTTCTTCTTTACTCAAAATTTTATAAAATTCTATTTTTCATATATTTCTTCAGTGTATAAGGCATATTATTCAGTTAAATATCTACTGAGAGTAACATAAATTTGTGTTTCTTGTCCAGATCCAGTTGGACACTTGGTCTGTCTTTTAAACTGAGTTGGTCTATTACGAAGTGGATTGCTACAGTTAGACTACTAAAATTTGAGGGAAACTGTACATTTTCTGTAGGTACCTAATCACAATTATCTTACTTTACTCTTAAGAAAATCCCATAAACTTATATTTATTATCTCCAAGCCAACCAATACCAATACCTTAGTCAAGAGAGGTTCACTCTGACAAACCACACTGGCATCCTGTACAGCCTGCTCATAGTTCTTCATGGTTAAATGTAACTCTGCTCGCAGCAGCAATAACGAGTTATCACCAGGAGCTGAAAGATATGAGGAATAGAAACCAACAAAAATGACTGCATTTAAAAGCAAATCATCTTTAAGTCATTAAAAATATTAAATTGGAAAATAAACCTAAAGGCAAAATAAGAAATAATTCCTCCTTTCAATCATATTTAGAGTTTAGTAGTTTGATAAGTATACTTTACATAGCTTCTCTCAGGAAAACAGAAAGAGGATTAAAAAGACTTTAAAATGCACCAAGAAAAACAGACTGCTCCGTACACATCAGCTACAACATAATCTCCAATAATAAACTGAGTAACTGCTGACTCATCTTAATGCTATAACTAGGTATTAAAAAAGAAAATATTTAAAATAACTTTATTGAAAGTACACAAGGAAATTCAAGCTTAAGAAACTAATAAAGTAAAACAATTTGTTTTTCTATGCCACTGCATGGATGCGGATTTATCACTGTATCTGTACCTACAGTATGTTCTCTTAAGTGGGAAAAAGAGAAAACAAACCTCCTTTTCCCGAGATTCCTCAAAGAGAAGAGATCTTGAGAATTACTCATATGCTACTACGAACATAAGCCCAGCTCCACAGAAGCCAAGAGTAACTCTATGAACTGACAGGTAGTATATGAAGGTGTTGACTCGGCAGGGTACCATGGAAAAGTGACAAAGCCAGAGCTCATGAAAGCAGCACCACCACAGCCGTTTTTCATACTGCTGGACCTGGCTCACTGTACCCCTTACTCATAGGATCTTTGTAGGCAACAAAGTGCATTTTAGTTGACCAATAAACATTCTGAGCCTCCAAGATGTCTTCTCATCTCTACCTAATACACATTTTCAGTTTGCTCCAAATCCTTGATCTTGACTCTTTCTCTAACCACCTGGTCCTTTCCAGATGCTACTGCATCTCCTCTCCGTTTATGTAGGTAACTGAGCAAGTGTGTATAAAAGATCTCATGCAAACAGATATTACATCAGGACACGGTGAGCAGGCACTGTTTATAAATGCATTATTGCTACATATGTGTAATACAGAGAAGGTAGGACAGGGAAAACAGTGGGAGACGGGGAAAAGAACAGCAGGAATGGAGAGTCAAACAATAGCATTTAAATTTTTTAAAAAGACACTGACTGGCTAAAGCAGGGATCAGCAACTTTTTTCTGTAAAAGGCCAGACAGTAAATACTTTAGGCTTTGCAGGCCAAGAGGCAAACTTGAGGATATCGTGCAGGTTACTTACGTAACAAGAAAGAAAACAGATTTTCACAAAAATTTTATTGACAAAATTCAAAATATAATAAATTAGTACTTTTATGTAATACATGTCTACTAATTAGAAAAAACGAATTATTTTGGGAGGGGATAACATTTTCCTCAATTGAAGTTCAAAGTTAGTGTTCCTCATCACCAAAATCAATTGCAAATGTTCATCTGTTGATGATGATCTGTAATGAGATTTTATGTATTCCATCTTTGAAAACACACATAAGTACCATGAAATACTGATGTCAATCCATAAGCACACGAATTTAAATTAAGCATTTCATTGCTTGGAAGGCATAGAGTATTCTATTAGATTCTTCTCCTGATATTCGTCCTTTTAGTATGTCATTATGTACTAAATATAACTGCAGAGTAATGACTTCCAACTGAAGATTAGGTGAAAGCTCCTCAATTGCACAGGTAAATGCATTTTGAAATACAGAAATTTCCTTTGGAGATTTCTGGAAATCTCAAAAAAAAAATGCTGCTGGAACTATAGTTTGAGCTTGAGAAATAAACCTGCTGTAAATCTGTGTGAGACGGGAGATCTCCCATTTTGTTCCCACTTGCTAAAGTCAGTGCTCTTGAACCTCTCAACAATCATATCATATACAAACAATTAGCTTCGACTCTTGCCTTCTAATATTTATACCTGTGTTTCCTTTTATCCTCGTATTACAATCACAGTGGTGATAGTGGACATTTTTCTCTTATTCTTGAATTTAAAAAGAACACATCTAAGGTTTTAACATGAATTATGTTTGCTATAATTTTCTGAGAGAGAATATTTACCAAATTAGATAAGCTCCCTCCTATTCCTAGTTTTCTGAGGGCGTTATAACAAGCGGGTGCTGAATTTTATAGAACGGTCTTCCAGCATCCGAGAGATCACATGTACTGTATCTCCTTTTACCTGTTATTATAGCGAATTACAGTTCAAAGATCTAACACTGAATTATCCTTATCTTCCTTGGATAAGCTCTTCTTGACCTTAAGTCTTACTACATGCTGGATTCAAAATACTAAGTCACTTAATTAAGGTTTTGGCATCTATTTACATATGTAAGACTAACCTATCAATTTTTTCCTGTGCAAGCTTTACCTGATTGTAGTAGCAAGGTTATATTAACCTTATAAAATGAGATGGAAATCTTCCCAAATTTTTCTATAATCCAAAATAAAATGGGAGTTAATCCTCACTGAAAGTTTGTTAGGACTTGCTTGACCTTAGTGCCTTTTCTCAGAAGAAAATCCCTGAGTAGCACTTAAATTTCTCTTATGGTTATTGGTCCACATCAGGCTTTTACTTCTTCCTGGATCAATTTTGATAATTTATAGTTTCCTTAAAATTATCCTTATAGGTTTTAAAATCTGTTATATTCTTTTATATCTGCGATTATGCTGCTTCTTCACTCCTGACACTATCTGTGCTCTGCATTTTTCTTCATCACACTTGCCAAACATTTGTCTCTTTTACTGGTCTTTTAATGAACCAGTTTCCAACTTGTTAACCAATTCAATTTTTTTCTGTTTCACTATTTTTTTCTTCATTATTCCTTTGCTTATACTTCATGTTAGCTTAATTGATCTTGACAAAGTTTCCTGAGTTAAAAACACATTTCATTTACATTTATTTTTAATCCTTCTTTTCTAACAAATGCATTTAAGCCTCTACTCTCCTCCCATTCTAAAGGCTGCTTTTACTAAGTCCAAAAGCAATTACATTCACTTCCCCTCCAGACACTGAATGAATCAAACTGTCTCCTTTGTTGACTTCCACCATTTGGTACTCCATTTATTAAGCCAGCACTTCATAACAGAATCTTTTAAAACATTTAAAATAAATCTCTACACATTTTCCACGCATTAAGCCTTAAACTTAACAAAACTAAGAGAATTTATCGAGGAATCACTCAAAAATAAACGGAAGAGGAAAAACAAATTCAAATTCTTTGTGGGGAGAAAGCATATGGGAGAAAAATGCACGCGTGCATCTTCCAAAAAACTGACACACGGTTTCAGACAGTTTACCAATTAACCCCTGTATGGGGAAGAGAGTCAAAAAAAAGTCTGAGAACCAGGCTTTGTGAGGACAAGAATAGTCTAGTCTCTACATCTGTGTTTAGGGTCCACCAACGGCTGTTCTCCTCCAACTGCAACCCAGAGCCACTGCTGGGCTGGGAGCCAGGTTACGGCTGTAAAATCTGTCAATGAGTGGGCAGTGGTGAGAAATGGAGAACTGTACAAGCGTTATTTTAAAAGTATTGAATGAACTGACACATAAAACAATGACAACTGGGTAGTGTTCTTGGGGAATATTAAGAAATGAACAGCAATACTCCTCACAGGTTATTGGTTACAAAGTCCACAAATTTTAAATGTGTATCTTGAACTTTCACATGTGTATACACCCGTGTAATCACCACCGAGATCATTTCCAGGAGCTCAGAAGGTGCCCTGGTGTACTTTCCCAGTAAGCACACCTCTCCTAAGGGTAACCACCGTTCTGACGTCTATCACTATAGATGATTTTAGCCTGTTTTGAACTTCTTACACATGGAGTTATATAAACAGAATGTACTTTTGTATCTGACTTTCATTCAATATCATTCTGTGATATTCATCCATATTGTTGTATGTCTCAGGGTCTTTTTTTAAAAATAAACTGCTGTGTAACATTATACTGTATGACTTGATTTATTTCTTCATTCTACTGGGGGTTTGTTTCCTAAATGTTTTTGGGATATATAAGTAAAGCTGCGATGTACATTCTTGTACAGGTCTTTTGAAGGACATAAACATTCATTTCTATTTGGTATATACTCAGAAGTGGAAATACTGTGTCCGAGATTATGTATGTTTAGCTTTGGTAGGTAATTCCAAACATATTTCTTAACTTGCACCAATTTACACTTCCACCAGCAAAGTAAGAGCTCAATTGCTTCAAATACTTGCCAAAACTAGGTATTGTCAGCCTTTTTCATTTTAACCATTCTGGCAAGTACGTAGTAGTATCTTATTTTAGTTTGAAATTACATTTGATCACTTATTATGTTGGGCACTCTTTCATAGGTTTAGTGTCCATTTTGAGATCTGGTTTTATAAAGCATCTGCTCAAGTCTTTGCCTATTATTGAGACAGTCTTTTTTGCTTTTGAAATGTAGGCATTCTTCCAATATTCTGGATTTGCATTCTCAGTAAGATACATATTACGAGTACACATCACCTTTCCACTTTTTCAGGGGTCTCTGAGGGACAAAAGTTCGTAATTTTAATTAAACCAAATTTATCTATCCTCTTTTATGGTTATGCTTTTTGTGTCTTATTCTAGAAATAACTGCCTACCCCAAGTTCATGAAAATATTCTCCTATGACTTCTCTTAGACATCTGACTCTAATTTCAACGTATGATGTGAGCTAGGCATCCAGGTTCACTTTTTCCATATGGATAAAATGACTCAGACTATTTAAAAGAACTGTCTTCTTCTTCATGGAATTCTATTGGCATCTTTGTAGTAAATCAAGTGACTGTACATGTGAACGTCAGTTTCTGTGTGTCTACCCTTGGATCCATAGAACTCTGTCTTAATTACTGCAGCATTAGAGAAAGCCTTGATATCTTATAGTGTAAGTTCTCCAGCTTTGTTATTTTTCTTCAATATTGCCTTGGCCCTTCATCAATTTCCACCAAAACCACTGGTGATATTTTGACTGAGACTGCACTGAAT